CATGTCGTTTACGGGCCCTCACGAAGAGCAGCGCCGATACCACAGATATACCGATGACAGCCATAGATAGCAATGTAATCATTACTACGGTTACAGTCGAGCCGTCGTTATCTCCACTCTTATCGATAACTAATATTCACATAAAAAGGTAATTAATAAACAAAATTATAATTAATTGCTATTTATGTACAATTAATTAACAAAAAACAACAACAAGTGCAAATAAAACAAAACATACATGCACAACTATTAGATAAACAGCATCGGGGAGCTGACTGCTGTGCCCACTGACCATTATTTAAACATGTTAGATTAGGTTTGCCTCGTAGTGCACCTGATGTGCACCCGTAGATAACATTGAGCCCGTGTAGGCTATAATTGCCGTCAATCGGCACGTCTGGGTAACCGCAGTCTCTATTGATTGTCAATTGCGCTAATAATAGGTCTGACGGCACCGGACTGTCGATCAGCACCGATAGGTTCACACCATTGATGGTCTCGACCGGACTGTCGCCCGTCCACCGCACCGGCCGCTCGTCCCATGTGTTGCTACACTCCAGCGTTATCTTATGAAAAGTATCTATAAATGTATTTAAATAACACGTTTTATTTATGATTTAATTTAGTTATAAGTTTATAACTATTACATTGATTTGCTTATTAAAGTTGTTATAATAATTATTGTAATTATATTTGTCGTGTATAAAAAAGTATATAATTTTGTTGCCATACAGTGGTAATGGTTTTTGTTATTTTTTGCATGTTACATAAAAACTAAACTAGATGTATGTTGTTTTGTTATTTTTTAGCTACATTTAATTCTACATTTTATTTTCGGATTCACGACTTCTTAATCATCAATAATTTTATTTTAATTCAATTATTTGTTTATTTTATTTTATTTTTTGTTTATAAATTGCCGTTTCTTTGCAACACTTTAATGATAGCTAATTATGAATTTAATAGTAATTTCGGATCATTTATTGGAGAGAGAAATGCCATATAATTAAGTTATTGTGGACTGAATTATAACGTGAGAAACACAAACCATTTATATATTGATATCTGTTATTATTAATGATAGTATTATTATTATATAATATATAAATTATGGATAAGTGATACCATTGACTCCCAAACATTATTTGGTTCAATAGGTTTTGTTTTGTTTTTTATACATCGCTCTCTCTCTCTCTCTCTCTCTCTCTCTCTCTCTCCCCTTACT